ACACATCCCTTCACACTGGTGTTTTCCCCTCAGCATTTAGACAGGCTCGTATAACCGCACTACTTAAGAAACCCACCCTTAACCCATCTCTTTTAGAGCACTACAGACCGGTTTCCCTTCTTCCTTTCATTGCAAAACCACTTGAACGAGCTGTGTTCAACCAAGTCTCTGCCTTTCTCACACAGAACAACCTCCTCTACAGCAACCAGTCTGGTTTCAGAAGTGGACGTTCAACCAAGACTGCCTTGCTCTCAGTTGTTGAAGCCCTAAGACTGGCAAGAGCGGATTCCAAATCTTCAGTATTTATCTTGCTGGATCTGCCCGCTGCTTTTGACACGGTTAACCACCAGATCCTCCTGTCAACCCTATTGGCAAAGGGCATCTCAGGAACCGCACTCTAGTGGTTTGAGTCTTATCTCTCAGATAGGTCCTTCAAGGTATCTTGGAGAGGTGAGGTGTCCAAGTCACAACATCTTGTTCACAGCTCTTGTTCTGTCCGGGCTGGACTATTGCAATGCTCTCTTGACAAGTCTTCCAGCCAGTTCAATCAAACCTTTACAATTAATCCAGAACGCGGCAGCAAGATTAATTTTTAACGAGCCGAAAATAATGCACATCACACCTCTGTTTATCAGTTTGCACTGGCTACCAATGGCTGCTCGCATAAAATTCAAGGCATTAATGTTTGCCTACAAAACCACCACTGGCTCTGCACCCCTTTACTTAAATTCATTACTTCAGACTTATGTGTCCTCTAGAAGCTTGCGTTCTGCAAGTGAACGGCTCTTTATTGTGCCATCCCAAAGAGGCACACAATTACTTTCTCGGACTGACCTGCCCAACTCAGTCCGAGCAGCTGAGTCCTTAGCCATCTTCAAGAATCGACTAAAAACACATATCTTCCATCTTTATTTGACCCTCTAACTCTTGCACTCTCTATTCTAATTCTATTCTTTATTAAATACAACAACAAAAATTGCCCTTTTTAGACTTGCACCCTATTTATTTACTAACTGATTGTTTTCTTTAAAAATAAAAACTAACACTTTCTTCTCTAATCTTTTTGAATTCTATTTGTTTTCTTTTTATTTATTATACAATTATAATTCTGACTTTCTGACTTCTTCTGATTATCAAAAGCAAAAAAGGCCTCTAACACAAGCTTGCTCTATTCTTTTTCTATTCTATCTGTTTTCTTTTTATTTATTATTGTCAGTCCTATGTCATGTCACACCCCCGAGCCAGAACTAGCCCGCTGGATGCTCAGCAGATAAGCCCGCCGGCCGCTCCTCAGTCAAGCCAGCTGGCCGTTCCTCAGTCAAACCCGCCGGCCGCTCAGCTCTCAAGCCTGCCAGCCGCGCCAGTTACCGCTAACCAAAGGAGGAGGATGAGGAGAAAAAGACTGTTCTCCGTCCTCATCCTAGCCCCAGAGCTTGCTCCAGTGTCCGCTCCAGCCCCAGAGCTCGCTCCAGTGTGGGCTCCAGCCCAAAGAGGGCTCCAGTTCCTGAGTTTAGCCCACGGAGGGCCCTTGTCCCCGAGCTTAGCCCAGTGAGGGCTCCTGTCCCCGAGTTTAGCCCAGTGAGGGCTCCTGTCCCCAAGTTTAGCCCACAGAGGGCTCCTGTTCCTGAGTTTAGCCCACAGAGGGCTCCTGTCCCCGAGTTTAGCCCAGAGAGGGTTCCAGTCCCCGAGTTTAGCCCAAGGAGGGCTCCAGTCCCCATGTCCAGCCCAAGGAGGGCTCCAGTCCCCACGTCTAGCCCAGGGAGGGCCACAGTTCCAGAGTTAGGCCTACGGAGGGTCTCTAAAGACTATATTCTCCCCAAGCATTTTTTTGGGGGGTAGTAGGGGTCCATCTGTGGAGGCCGGGCCGAGTGCTGAGGCCAGGCTCCCCGAGCTCACTGTTCCGCCATGGCCTCCTGAACTGTCTGCTCCGCCATGGCTTCCTAGTCTGCCTGTTCCGCCATGGCCTCCTGAACTGTCTGCTCCGCCATTGCCTCCTGAACTGCCTGCTCCGCCATGGCTTCCTAGTCTGCCTGTTCCGCCATGGCCTCCTGAACTGCCTGCTCCGCCATGGCTTCCTAGTCTGCCTGCTCCACCATGGTGCCCCGAACTGCCTGCTCCGCCATGGCTCCCAGAGCTCCCTGCTCCGCCATGGCCCCTGAGCTTCCTGTGCCGCCATGGCCCCCTGGACTGCCTGATCCGCCCTGGAGGTATTCCCCGTGTCCCAGTCCTGCACCAGTCTCCAGGGTGCCCCCCCCCCTCTCCCTGGTGGAATGGTTACGGCGCAGGACGCGCCTTCCCGGGAGGGGGGAATAATGTCAGACTCTGTTCCGTGTTTGTTCCCCACGTGTTCCATGACCCAGTTTCCCCTAATGTTTAATTATTGTTTCATTAGTTCCAGGTCTCGTCATCCCATTCTCTAGGCATGTGTATTTAAAGTGTTTCCTGTTTTGAGTTCTCTTTCCGGTATTGTTTATGTCAACCTCCTCTGCTACGTGTGTTATCCTGGCACCCTTGATATTATTAAAGTTTCCTTGTTGATGTACTCCACGTCTCCTCGCTCCCTCACAGTAGCAAACGTGACATATATATATAATTTCAATTTAGCTTTCATTTCTTTTCATTTCAGTTTTAGCATATTAACAATTTTAACAATGATTACCATCAGTCAAGATTATTAGACTACTGCATTGATTATTTTTTGTTAATTACAAAAATTTTGTTTTCAACAACCATTTTAATGTTTTTATTTTAGTTTTTCATTTTGTTTGCATTATTTAAAGCTTGTAAAAATTAAAGATAGGAAAGGAAAAGCTTTTGAGATCAGACATAGCTTTTGTCTGAGCTATGAATAAAATATAAAAATGAAAGAATTCACATTTTCTCATTTTATTTGTATTATCTTATTATTTTAGTGGTTACAATAAGTACGTTTTGGGCTAAATTAATTATTTAAGCCTCATATCCTCACAAGTCGTGAATGATTCTCAACTTGAGAGGACATGAGAGGACTCTGTTTTCATTATTTTCCCACTTTAGCAAGTTAACAAATATATATATATATAATTTTTTTTTTTATAAACCCGCTAATAAAAATGTGGTGGGCTGAGTCATTTCTGGCTGAATTGCACAGGCGATTTGAAGCGATGGCCTTGAGTGTGGCATGTGATGCAGTATTCAGTTTAAGCATGTATGCAAGCCTTAAGATTCACCCTCGGCTTGTGACAGCTGAAGTGGATCTTGTGAAATGTGCGATTGCTTCGCCGATTACTCTTGAGAGACTTAAAGATGAAGTAGGCTACAGAAGGACAAATATCCAAAGTTTTTCAGACTACTGCAGTTTGCACTCACGCTGCCCATTGGTTCGGCTACATCAGAAAGTTTCTCAGTTATGAGGAGAATCTGGCTCCGATCTTCAGTGGCACAGGACATATTCTCAGATCTTTCTTTACTGCACATAGAGAACGATTTGACTGAAAAAACTATCAGAAGAGAAGAGATAGTGAAAGAAAGACAGTGGTCATCTACGCAATTCGGAAAAAGAGGCAGCTTTTCTGCATTAGGTAGCTAATGGTATAAATATTCATATAAATATATGAAATGTAGAACATATAAAAAAGTGTTCATGGCTCGTCTGCCAGTGGGTGCCCCCCCAAGCATAAAAGTGAAACTCTGCCTATGGGGACATGTCATGTAATGTCTCCATGACAACTTGCACCAGTCTCTCCCATTTATTTAATAATTGATTTATTGTTATGTATTTATTCTATTACTTTTTTAAACTTAATTTTTATATTTATTATAAATGTATCATTATTAATAATTACTATTATTCATATAATTCATTTAAGGACGCTGCTGCTGCAGAGCAAGTACCGAGACATGCTACTGCCAATACATCCACAACATGCTGCTGTGAGCATGTAAGACATATTGCTGCTGCAAATATAACATACATGAAATAACCCCCATATAGCATACATGAATCACCTCATAGCAGATCTATACAGGTGGAGCTGGGGAAGGTGAAGGGTGAAGCAAGCTGCAACTGCTACAGCACTAGTCATATATTTGAATGTTGAGCAGCGAGTTAATTGGCTGCCGATACAGGAGAGAACCAATCAGCTGTGCCATGTGATAATGATGTCATTAGGTCAGATTGAGTTAGACCTATCGGACTGCGCCATCTAGAGTTTCATGTAAGAACTCTGCATTTATACAAGAATAGTTCATGTAATTATACAGTAAAATCTACACTTATTTAACTTTTTTTTTAAAGAGAAAAACTGTAAATTGACATTCCCAGAATTATCTGTGTGACAGCTCACTGAATTTATTTATTGTTTTTGCATATGGACAATATCGGCTGATTTACACGATGAATCCCTAAAACCCCGGGGTAGTAATCAATCTGTCTGACTGCCGATACACTTGTCCCAACCTGCTCAGTGAAAAAGAGTGAGACAGAGCAATTGAGGAAGAATGAAGAGCAGAAAGAAAGGAAGGAGAATTGTCACGGAGCATGTGTCAGAGAGTATTCAAATGCAATCATTGTAAATTATACCCTCTGCTGGGTTGTTGCGGATTTCTGATGAACACTCAGATTCCACAGCCCACAACAAACAAACAGACCCAAACGCACACACAATCAATCAAAGTGTGAAGAAAATGTCATGTTGTACACCCTGTTCATTCTGCATTGTCTTGTCTATTAAAAACATTGGCTGCAGGGCCGTAATCTGACAGCAGTCAGACTGAATCAGTGCTATTATACATCACATACAGATGGCCAGATGAACCACACTAAAGCTCTCAGGATTTTTAAAACAGCTGTGTTCCTTCTGAAGGAATATATTTATGTACAGCAATGACCACAGAAACACCTGCAGAAGACTGATGTGATGGAGTAGAGTTTGAACACTGCGGTCTCACTCACCTCTTTATTATCTGAGCAATAAGACACAAGAGGCCAAGCTATACTTTGAATACAGTCACAGCTAAAGAGTGTTGTTTGCCCCTCTCATTCATTACCTCATAACTAATGTAAATTTAAATAACATAAAATTATAAATGAACACACACACACACACACACACACTATATTAGATTGTGTTTTATTAACGCCTACACCTACCCCAACCCTAAACCTACCCCTTACAATAATGCAAAAACAGAAATTATTGTTGTACAGTGTGAGACCCAGTAGTTTTTGCTGTATCCCTTCTAGCCTTAACCCCAACAAATGCACTGAGCAGCGCTGTCAATGGAAAGCAATGTTTGTGAAGATGAAATGTAGTGGTCAAAAAAGGCCACTGGTGCTGTGCAATGACGATGGTCACAGTTGTTACTATACTATGGATTGTAGAACAAGCATTCAGCAACCAGGATGTCAACTATTCTTTTTACAATCCATGATAGGACACAAATACAAATGAAAAGAGAATCTGTCTTCTATTTCCTTCTCTTTCTCTCAGGTAGAGCGATGAGGTGACCCAAGTCAGTCAGCAGACGTGCTGAATAATCAGGCTGTTAGCTTGCTAATATGAGCGAGGGGATTTCTTCTCCGTACGGTCCCCAGCGACTCCTCTATCATTACACAATCCCCACTGGAGATCTTCAGCCCTCACTCGCACAACTTGCAATCAAAACGTCCTGTCTTTGCCACTTTAATCCCTGATCTGAGACCAGTGCTTGGAAATTACGCTACAGTGTGTCCCAGTGGGGATATTTCAGACTGATGATCTGAAACCAGGTTTTTCTCTCCCACACCACTTAATGCCCTTGAGGAATGTTTTCTATATGTTAATACTGATTTGTATTTAATACAGTATTGCCATTTTAATAATTTTTTTCATATGTCTAACAAACCATGAGAATATAATACACACTAGAGTGCACAAAAAAATCAATTGTTAATTGAAAAGTTGTAGTAGTTTGCTATGTTCAGACACAGTACTTTTATGCCCATGTGTGTTGTTTTAGCACTAACTGCCACGAGCAGCTGCGATTGACAGTCTGAACACTTTATACACCAGCAATATTAAAATGTATTTATTTTAGATGATGAATCTGTATAGCAGAATAGCTCGGGCCATATGTTATAATAAAATGGCCACAGTTGAGTAAGTGTGGCACAAGCAGTTTTGGCCAACAGATGAGGGTAAGAGCATATGTTAGTGAGGGAACAGGATAATTTATCTCATCCAGACGAGTTGTTAAGCTGTAGTGTCTGCCTTGTATAAATAATTAGTGGCTTGATTCAAATCCATTGCCACATCATGAATAATGCATGAGAGGGGTGGGGAAGGGCGGTGCTAGTATAGAAGATCAATTGATTGACAGTGGGAGACAGTGTGGCCAATGTGACCTCTCTGTCTGATGGATCATTTATCTTTCTCTCTGCTCATGCTCCTTATCAAGAGCAGCCAAACCTGCTAACTCTTTAACCTGAGGCAGCACTGGATGGCTGCAGGCATAAAAATATCAGTTAAGTCGTGATTCTTTTCACAGTCAAACCATGAATCAAAGCTGAGGGCACCATTTACTCAGCCTCATTTAGTTCCAAACATGCTTTCTTTTTTGACACAGAGATGTTGATGTGTTTTTATAAGTGTTCACTCAACTCAACAAAGCCCTCAAAGCCATAAGAGAGCAGCTAACAATGACCCGAACAAACAGAGGCTTTGATTGGAATCGAACATGTGAACAGAATCAACACTGCAGTAGCCAGTTCATGCTATCCGCCAAAGCCAATTGGTCTTCCATCTTATTCCCAGATCAACTGTTCCTACTTCACCCCGGCAAACTTTAGTTTGAACTTCTTGGTAACTTGTCACTTAATATGCCCTCAACTCTTGAGCTCTCGAGACACGCTGGATTTAGCATGTGCCATTTTTCAGTATTTGTTTATCACTTCGTTGTTATATCTCTGCTTGAATGGATATCTGTCCGTATCCTGAGGGACAAATGGGGAGACCAGGTGTGGGGAAAAGTCTCTCTCTTGTTTTTGACCTCCTTTATCCATCTCTGTCATTCTTTTCCTTCACTTGGCTTGAGCGTTGTTCATGCTCTGCGGAGTAGCTGTAACCTCTGGTGAAACGCAAGCGACGGGAGGTAAATCATTCCGACTGCATCTGGGCTCAAACTCACCCTGCAGTATTTCAGCACGGGTCTGACCTGAAGACTAATAGCAATGTTTTAAAACCATACAGCCACAGAGCACTTTCCGATTACCTTTGCTGATTGCTCCAGCGCTTCCTACTTCCTGAGCCATGTAACTTCACTGATTTCTCTTTGGATGAATAGAGGCTGTTGTTCACCAGTGTAGACGTATGCTGTAAGTCAAAAATTCAATCAAAACCATGTTAGCGTTCCGCTATCGAACTATAGCAAGGGAATACATTTCTTTGAGATTATATTTCACCGGCATGCAAGGTTTTTCTGTATTTGTATGCTAATACGACATGGCCAAAGCAGATTTGGAATCTGTTGCCGAGAATTCTATGGAAAGATCTGTGGCCGCATGGATATACAATAATGTTGTATCATTATTCAAATGTCTTTATCTCACAGCAGAGAAATCAGAACCATTTCAATGTGGAACAGAATGAGGCCAGGATATTCTTTCACAGATCGCCACATGGTGATGGCAACGGCGTATCAGAATCAAAATTGCGCTCAGTTGAAAGATGTATGTAACTCTTAAGAGGTGATTTGTGATTTGCAGCAACAAAGTGACCGGAAATCATTAATTTTCAAGAGGCGATTTGAGCTGTTCTGGTGAATGATGCAACATGGTTGAGCAGAGGTTAAGTGTATATGCAAATGAGGACATGGCACCAACCAATGGGAGTGGTTGGACTCCTTATACAGTTGGATACACGTCTATTTAGAATCGAATGATTATTAATGCTGAAATGGCTCTTTGTGTTAGAAAATATGGTTCTTTATTCCCGCTTTTTAAACATTTTCAATAAAAATAGATGCACCTAATTGAAATGGCTTGCTGTCATTTTCAATAATATATCCCTATTAGAGCCTATATATTAGGGGGGGAACCTAACATAAATGAAGGGGAACCTAACATAAATGAAACATACAAAAACTAATAATAATTAAATATTATTTAAAAGGTTCTTCATAACACCATTAAAGTCCACACACTGTAGCACTTCCAAAACATAGTTCTTTATTATGGAACCTTATAAAAAGTGTTCTGCTATTGTTGCAAGCTGAAGAACCCTAATCTGGTACTGTTTCGAACCAGCAGTGTACTAGAACTAAATAGTACAGCAATCTGGTGTTTTTTTAATTATTAAATCAATACCCAAATTGTGAGTTTGCGCTCGAAATCGACTGTAATAAGAAACTTAAAGGAGTACAACAAAATAATACAAAGACAATGGAGATAAAGCATATCGCTCTATTGCTTTGTCTGGTTGCACACAAAAACAATAATACAGCACAACCAGTGCTGCGTTTCCCAAAAGCATCGTAAGCTTAAGTACATCGTAGAAACCAATGGAGCTATGATCAACGTAGGCTTTCGATGCTTTTGGGAAACGCAGCCCTGTGTAGTCTGATTCACGTATGAATGAGCCTTGTATTTTAAAGACTCAAAAAAATTGTGTAGCAAGACTTCTCCATCGTGCACTGAAAGAATCAGACTACATTGTCTGAATGAACACACTGAGTCTAATATCTACTATACTTGACTGAGCACTGCGGACAGATGAACTGATGAACGGGAGATGACTGCAGTGTCCATATCTTCAGCCGCTCAATACTCATTGAGTAAATTACCCAGAGCGCATTTCACAGGTGAACCCGAGATCCAATGTTTGTTAATGGCAGAATAGAAGCTTTCCCGGGTCTCAAGGACAGCAAGGGACGCTTCAGCAGACATTCACTAACATACGCGTTTGCACTCTAACTCGCAGCTGTGAGCACCAAACGAAAAATCAATGAAACAAGTTTTCTGTAATTGAATGTGAGATTCTCCTCTGGCTGAGAAGCTCTAGAGGAAATATGGCTGTAATCAATGTAAGTGCCGTTATACAAAACCATTTAGGTGTCAATTTGAGGCACGAAGCCAACAAGTCCAGCACTGGGCAGGGGAAGGAAAGGTCAGAATCTGACCCCCGTGTGATTGGCGAGCTTATAATAATTATTATTATAATAATTATTATAATAAAATAATTCAAACTCAAACTAAAATAGAAATGATAAATTATATATAAATTATATATAAAAACTATATAGACATATGTAAAAAGTAAAAATAACAGAAAAATACAATTTTTTTTATTTTAATATTATATTTTAATAAAAATAAAAAATAACAAAAAGTATTTTCACCAAAAAGAAAAAAAAGAGAAAGGTTTCAAGCCTGATATTTTCTGTTTCAGTAGAAAATATCAGTTTAAATGTCCACACATTCTTTTTGCCATTAACTGTAATAATAGTACGCTTTTTTTGAGGGAGAATTAGCCTTCCAAGTTGACTACAAGCACTACAAACAAGTATTATATCAAAAACGCGCAGCTGTGCATAAATGTCACCGGTAACTGTTATTTTTATTTACGAAGGGAAATAATTTCATTTTACAGATGAAAACATGGGACATTATTACATTCAGTCACAACCATGACCGCAAGAAATATTGGTAGGGACTACCTGAGGTGAATCCAAGAGCATGTCCTGCTTGGCAGAATCAGTCACCTGTGACCCGCGGGGACACATTAAGCTTCTCCTCTGCTGCCTCATTCTCATTCTGTGGTTTCTGTAAAGCAGCAGCATTGTGGAAACAAGAAGGTATTAGGTGAGAGATGATCTGTTTTGGTGCCAAAGGAATGATTCTGTGAAAGGATCCAATCAATGAGTATTTAGTTCTGTTTTGGTGATAGATGTGTGTTTGCTTTGTATCAAAAGTGTGTGTGACATAATATAGCCAAGCATGAAAGGTCGTAGAAGAGAATGAGCAAAGATGAGGAGGAGATTAGGGTGAAATCGGACACGCTTCACTGGTGTGCGTCTGTGTTTGCTGGTTTCCACTGGTGTATGACTGTTTGAACATGGCTCTTTCCAATAATCCTGTGATTAAATGTTAGGTGCCTGCGAGAATAAATTCAGCCGGAGCCAAACATTAGAATTCAGTGAGAATGGCCTTTCAGAAAAATACAACGGAAACAAAATTGTGTCTACAAAACAAGGCGCCTGTAAAAATAAAACTCATTTTGAGAAGTCTGGATTGAACTGGGCCACAAGAGGGAGTAAGAAAGCCACAGAATGCACAGCAGAATAAAATGTAAAAGAAATTTACTCAAGGCTGTCCACAGCAAGGCTTTCAACGGGAAAGTTTGTCACATAAATATGTCCACAAGTTTACACAGTCAGAGGCTTTTAAAAGCGCTTTCTGTCACTTTTATATGTTCTGTTAAAACAAACTCCGTTCAATCAATCAAAAGGCTGAAAGAGAGCCCTGAACTGGGCCGCTCCAGCTGAACAACAATAGAACTCATATCAGAAGATCACAACCTGATTAAACTTGAGAAAATCAGAAAACATCACCTGTGAGAGTTCAGATTCCCAAGCTTGATTTTTCAGATTTCATTTTATCATTATTATTTTCGGTGTTTTTTCCATGTGATTGGCTCCTAGATTTTATTCATGGCAAAAAAAAAAGAAGACCTGTGCATCATAAAAAAATAAATCATCCTCTTAACTCTATGTATTTCTAAACAAACGGCATTGCTGTATTGTAACAATTGTGAAGAATGCATGCATATATACGCTCTCAGAAAAAAAGGTACAAAAGCTGTCACTGGGGCAGTGCCTTTTCAAAAGGCACATTTTTGTACCTTTTAGGAACTAATATGTACACTTTAGGTACTAATATGTACCTTTAAGGTGCTAACATGGACTGTTTAGGTACAAAGGTGTGCCTTTTGAAAAGGTACCGCCCCAGTGACAGCTTTTGTACCTTTTTTTCTGAGAGTGTACAGTAAATTGATTTAAATGTATCCATTGGTCAAATGTGTCTATTTAAATATATATTTGCATCCTATACATAGGTAAAAGTTCCACGGCCTAACAGTACTGTATACAGACACTCAACTGAATAGCATTGCAAACTCATGCACAACAGAGATAGATGCCCACATACACAAGCGTCAATGTTCAAGGTCACGTACACATGACGAGGCAGTCAAGATGACTGCGTAACATTCAGATTCTGACTTTAGAGATTTCTTTAACGGAATAGTTCAACCCAAATGAAAATGTGCTACAAATGTACTCATCCATAGGCCATCCAAGATGTAGATTAGTTTGTTTCTTCATCGGATTTGGAGAAATGTAGCATTACTGTACATTACTTGCTCACCATTGGATCCTCTACAGTGCTTCTGGCTAAAATACCTCTATCCATGCTGTTGCTTTCTCCAGTGAAAAAGTAATCTTGTCTGAATCAAGAGAAGAATATGCACAGATCAAACATAAGTGTAAACAGATCTCAACAAATAGATGCGAGAAGGCAACAGGGGATGGACCTTTTTTTTCCACTGGAGGATGCATTATTATGAACACATATTTTGTCCAGGAGCGATGGTTTAAAGTTAAAACGCCTTCACAAATCCCCTTGCAAATGAAGGCCAAACTCTGCAGATCATATTGCTCATCCACTTGAATCTGCGCTGGCCGAGCGTGGTGAGTGGCAGAGTATATGGCATGCTGTATCCTGTCGGACAGCGCTAGACAAGAAGAGCCGTGGGTCTGTCTTTGTTAAGCTGGAATGGCTTTTGTGTGCTGTGGGTGTCATCTGCGGATCAGTTCTCTGGCACAAATATCAAAACTCAATTCAGATTCTCTCTCCCAGCCTGATTTCATAGAGGGAGAGAAAGAGGCTCTCGGAATTGGATCGGAAATATGAGCTACTTTAGCAGTCATCACATCTTGGGTTTCGGTAATTGTGTGGGAAAATGTTCTGGAAAGTGAATTGGGCATCTGCCTTGTTCTGATTTAGTCTCTGAATTGTGCTGTTGGGTTTACGAATTTGCTGGTGGACCATCAAGTTAAAAATGGAGAGACAGTGGTTTGTTAATATCCACGACATTAAAACGATGCTTTTCATCATGTGATTTCACAAGCAAGATTATACCGAATGCAGTCATAAAGGCTTTGGCTCTATTAGCCCCCTGCTGGTGTTGTTGCACTGCTAGAAAAAGGCTAAACGTTTCCCATTACATGTTCTAACCGAGTGTTTGATACTAATCATTTGTTTAAGGAGCGTTCGAGAATGTGCTTGATGAATGCTTGTAATAAAAACGAGTGTTTGGCCCATTTACAACTGGCATTAACAATCTCGAGTCCGATCACAAAGAGTCAACACTAAATACAGGTGTAAACAGCGTCCAAGACTTTTCACAAGTAAATTTTCGGTGTCCCGTCACTTTTGACCGTGAAGATCACAAGTGTGACTCCCAAATGAGGAGCACCAGAGGATAGTAAACAAAAACTATGACAAAAGCACATAACATCACTAAAAAATTATAAAAAATAATATAAAACAAAAAATATAAAAAATAATAGCCAATTCAAATTATGCATTAAAGCTAGCATATAAAAATATAAATAGTGTATAAATAATACTAAAATAATGCTGAAAATGCATGTGCATAATGAAATCACTAAAGTGGGCAAAAATAATTTTTTAGGGTTGCTAAATTAACACGTTAATTTACATTTACGCATTTTAGCAGATGCTTTTTTCCAAAGTGACTTACAATAGAGGAGCATAAGCAATTTGTCACAGAGCCAACAATATTCATAGTATACAGGACCAGGCTTAGTGCAAATAATACATTAAAAAATTATCTAAAATAAAAATGTACGTTTTAATTTTAAAACATTAAAATAAGTTGCATAAAATTAAAATAAATACATAAAATAAATATACATAATAAAGTTTTTTCAACCACAACCAGTATCACATTTGTGACCGTGGACCACAAAACCAGTCATTCGGGAGCTGAATAAATACGCTTTCCATTGATATATGGTTTGTTAGGATAGGACAATATTTGGCCGAGATACAACTATTTGAAAATCTGGAATCTGAGGGTGCAAAAAAATCTAAATATTGAGAAAATCGCCTTTAAACTTGTCCAAATGAAGTTCTTAGCAATGCATATTACTAATCAAAAATTAAGTTTTTATGTATTTATGGTAGGAAATTTACAAAATATCTTCATGGAACATGATCTTTACTTAATATCCTAATGATTTTTGTCATATAAGAAAAATCGATAATTTTGACCCATACAGTGTATTTTTGGCTATTGCTACAAATATACCCCAGCGACTTAACACTGCTTTTGTGCTCCAGGGTCACATTTTTTTTGAGAGTCCCACCAGCTATTACACACAAGATGCCTCATCAGTCTACACTAATGTCCTAATAAAAAAAAAGTAAAACTGATATTTGTCATTCAACTTTACAACATATCGGCCTTGTTCTCTGTGGTGCTTGAAACTTTAAAGCCTGTGTAGTGCTTCCTGCTGCTCCAGCTGTCGTCACTGGTCCTCTGTGCTGAAGCGGCCTGTCATCTGTACATATGTAGTCCTCAGTTATCTGGACCCCCCCCATCTGCCCTCACACTGTGCGGTTCATCACTCGCAGCTATCGAGGAGCCCTGCCCCTGGTCACGATTAATGAGCACAACGCCTCCTGGGTTAACAGAAATTAATAGGCAGACAGAAATTTACATTTCTATTCGAAGGCAAGAAAGGATTGATGTAGCCCATTACTAGGGCTGCTGAGATAGAGAGAGAGAGCGAGATAGAGAGAGATAAAGAAGGAAAGAGAGGAATGTGAACATGCCATAAAAATGTATGAGGTGGATTTATGAGTGATCAGGTGTGAGGTCTTCCGGTCTGGATATATTAAGACAATCAGAAGGTGCTGGTCAGGTGACGACCAGCTGATGTGCCCTTGATGACACTTTTCTCTGAACTCCAGCTCCTTCATTAAGCAGGCTGTTTTGTGCTTAATGAGTGAGTTGCTGTGTTAGCAGATTGATTAACTTTCTCATAGGAAGGTGAGAGAGTGTTGAATATGTCTCATTTCAATAAGAGCTGCGTGTTCATTTGTCTTTATTAGCATGGTACATGTGATGCTGACGAAGACCAAGTTTTGCTTCAGGACTTCACATTGGCCATGAAGTAGCAACTCAAGACGGAAACAAAATTATTAATTGTTCAAAAGCAGCGGACAAAACGTTTTTAAAATTAAACATTATGTATGCATAAATGTATTAAGATTACCATAAACTGCAAAGGCCCAACAGTATGCAAAATGATGAAAATAATTTGTTCACAGATGTGCACTAAATAACAAAGTAAACATTTTCAGTTATATGCATGAATATAACTAAACACAGTAAATATATTATTATTAATATATGCACTGTAAATACATTTTATCAATAAGTGATGGCAATATGTTTTCCCATTATTTTATCTCATCAAAATGATTTAACCAATTTGTATAATATATTTTATTATACTAAATTTAAGGAAGTAGCTGAAAGTTGAAGGTGGTGGAAATTTGTTACAGTAAGTAAATCCAGTAAATATATCTTGATATATGAAAATGCCACACAGGGAATTTTTTTAATCTATAGAAATGGCCTGTTGAAAATATTCATTGAAATGAATGCCAGTTTTTCCCTCCTTTTATTATTTGCATTCAAAACAGGTGTGTGTTTGAACCAATCAGAACAGATATGCGACTCATATTAAGGTCACAATTCACCAGTTGAGAATCACTGTAGACTATAATTTAAGAATTTTTTGACATGCTCCAACAGCCAATGAGATGGATTCTTTGAGTTTAAAACATTCATTTTTGTAGAGAGAAAGAGAGTTAGACTGAGAGTTGTGTTTGGAGCGAAGTGCCGGTTCAGCAAGAATTTAATGGAAGATTAATTAATTGGGTCTTTGCTGTTAATTGACATAACTGACATGTGGCTGCCCTCCAAAAATTCATCATAAAAAGGGAAAACTCTTCATCGTGGTATCTAAGCCAGACGCAGTGCCTCTGCAGATATTTCTCTTCCCTTCATCTCAGTTCCCGCTTGCCAATCCAGAACAGACTCCATCTAAAGTCCAAAAGAAAAGTGACTTTCCTCTCGACCTGCCAAGATTTCAGTCCTCGTTTTAGAATTCAGACACATGCTTAATTGTTTTTTATTTAATAGTTAATGTGCTTGGAAACCATGAGCCCAGCTGGATGACTTAATTATATTGCTCCATGTAGCTCTTCCACAACAATTATGGGACGATAATAATTGGGCAAATGTTTAATGCTCCATTTACATATTGGTGTCATTCAGTAGTGAGGAAAAACTTTCAATGCTTGACTAGTCAAATGCCTGTTTAGGTGACTTAGCTCCAGGGCCAATAAGCTTGCATGAAAAGGTCTGGTGTTCCGTGGAAAGGAAGCTCATATTTGCAACAACATGAAAAGTGATTAAACGTTGCCGTGTCATTTGAGAGAAAGACCTCCAAGACCATCTAGAAAGAGATCGCCCAATTTCACATGGATCAAGCAAATTAAGTAAATTAACCCTGTACAGCCTGACATATGAAGTACTAGCCAGAAAAATATTTTCCAGTTTTTTTTTTTATATTGCTGAAGCTAATAACTGACAATAAGAAATGTTGCATATGTTTTTTTTAGATCACATGTGGATCATTCATCAGGCTTCAATTATAGTTTATCACAAGAAAAACTAAATCCTTTCGCATTTATGATGTTTGAAGCATTTCTGTTTAATTAAATATTTTTGGTCAGAAAAAAATCTGGGATATATATATATATATATAAATGATTAATAATGTAAATAAAAAAAAAAGCCTAAGTAAAAAAAATCTTTAAAAGAAAAAAAATAAATATACCTCAAATGCCTGCTGTAGGCCTATTATTTGTTACGCATTTTTAAAACAATTTTCCTATAAATAATGTATGAAATATCAAGATCATATTCATTCACAAAGTAACAATATATAAGTTATTCTTGCTGTGACTTTATAAAAATCAGAGGCAGACATTTTAGGAATATAAAAAGTCATTTTACTTCCTGAAAAATATAAATTATCCACCAGGGGGCGGAAAAAAAAACTCCCAAAAGGCTTTTCAGGAAAGTATTGATCAGATGCCTTAAAAAGCCAATACATTTGGCTTCATAGGGTTAAGCCAAAAATACATTTTATATTAGAATATAATCCACTGCATATCATGAATCACAAAATATGTTCAAAACAGAATGCATTATGCTGATCTCTCAAACCAAGTCCAGCCCTGTTTTCTTCAGAAATGAACAATCTTTCTAAACATCTCCTATCAGGCTGAAAGCTTACCGTTTCTACATGCTTCACTAAGTGCTTTACACACTGGGGAATCTTTCTGTTGACTTCAAATCTCTCAGAAATGAACACGTTAAAGTGCAATTCTGGAAAGCAGCTGCAAACCCTCGAGTGGAGTTTTCCCCCTCTTCATATGCATAGAGTCATCTCTTGTTCTTCAGACGCAGAACAATACCAAGTGCATTTGTAAGTCACTTTGGATAAAAGCATCTGCTAAATAAAATCGAATGCCATCTCGCATAGAGAAATAAACATTGTCTTTGAGAATAGTGTACGAATTATACTTACAGTGAAAGTAAATTTTACTTTTGAGGTTCATCTCACACTATCCAAATGGTCTGGTATTGTCTAGATTTATTAGCCAGGCATCTACGGGGGCCTAAACCGACATAAATGAAATATAAATAATGCAATAATAGGAATGTAAATAAATGACTTAAAACAAGCAAACACAATAAATCACATCACATGTTTTCACATCACATCAGGAGTTCAAGCCTTAATTAGGGTCAGACATCCTCAAATCCTCCATAAGTCACACCCTGATTGAGTCTATGAAACTTTAACAAATTCCACTGAAACTAGAAGTCGTCCATATAGTGTATGGTGTATGAATCAATTAGTTCAATTCACTACACTGGTCTGAATTGGACTGATCAGGTTCTCACAAAACTGACAAACATCATATGATCCCAGAAGATATGGAATATGTTGCTCCAGAAGATATGGAATATGTCGCTCAAGTCAAATGGAGCATTTTTTATGATGCTTTTTTTTAATGATGGAGTCCCTTTTGAAGTCTGAAAGCCATTTATTGTAAACTGTAAAAAATAAGTTTCTGCCTTAAATTTTTAAGTACAATCAACTTAGCTGTTTAAGTCCTTTCAACTTAAGTTACATTAAACAGGCTTAAAAAAATTAGATGAACCTTTCACAACATAAAATAAAGTTGAAAATTGTTAATGTAAAAACACATTGTAATTTTTACAATGTAATTGCTTGGAAAAGACCAGTACAATTTTTTTTCAAAACTTTCCAAAATGACATGGATCAACATTACTGTTTACAAATATAT